TGGAAGAGCAACCAGTACTCTTAGCCACTGAGCCATCTCCCCAGCCCAGACAAGGCTGCTCATGCTCGCTTCCTGTCCTTTTCAGATGGATTCCTCTGTTTTATCTGGAAGTCATGGTGGCCATGTCCCCGGGTGCCCTTGCTGTGTTCACACTTCCCTGAAGAGCTGCAGACCTTTGCAGTTTTAGCCACTCCAGGCCTCCCTGAGGAGCCTTACTTCGGGGTCTAAGGGATTCCTCCTTTAGGAGCTCCCGGGCATGTCCCCTCCTCCATAGTCCACATCCTGATACTGTGTAACACTTGGGAAGCTGCCAGGTTTCCCTCCCTCCCCTCAGGAACACACCACTTTGCCCTCTCACAGACTCTTCCTCTCACCCCCCACCCCGGCTTCCCTGCACACTGGGGCAGCTCCCCTTGTACCCGGTTCCCTCTTCTGCTGGATCTCCTCAGGGTCTCCTGCCCTTTCAGGTCCCCTACTCTCTACCGTCCCCCATTTTCCCATCACCAGGCTCTGCCCAAGGTGTCCCACGAGGCTGGAGCTGCTCCAGTGGTCTGTGTAAGCCTCACTCTGGTCCTCCAAAACCTGGCTCCTTTCTTCCTCTGACCTGACATTTCCTCCAGCCCTCCTGCCCCTACATCACCCCCATCAAGGCCCTGCTTTTCATCTAGGAAGACAAATATGCGAATATTTGAGACTGAACTTTGACCCCACAGAGGTTCAGAGACTCTGGGGACCCTTGGTCACAACTTTCATCTCCTGGAGAGTAGCAGCCATACAACAGGGTGGACTATGTCCTTGCTACCCTAGCTGGTGGTATCTGACGTGATTGGCCTCTTTGCCTCTGTGACACTCTCCTTTCTCATTGGCTACCACCCCTCCCTATGATCCTCCCACTCACCTTGGCCCTTCCTGGGTTTCTTTCATGGTAGCTGGTGTCAGCTCCTACCTTCTCACCTGCTGATCTCCACACTCTGTCCAACTGAATGCCCGCCACCACTCCCTGTCTTGCTTGGGTCTCTGCAGCTGGAGTTGACTGTGGGTGAGGTCACGTCTCTCCAGGGGTTCCCACCTCACTGAGTGAAAAGCCAAAGTCCCTAGTTGCACACACTGGGTGCTCCTCCCTCCTCAGCCACCTCCTCATATACCGTTTTAAATCACCTCTTCCCCGTGTCCTTGTCCCAGCCACTCTGCACATTCCTGCCACACATCCTTTGCACCAACTGGTTCTTCTGCACGGAAGAGTCTTTCTCTTGTAAATGACTCCTTTCCTTGCCTCCTTCAAATATTTGCCTAGATGGTGGCTGGTTTGCTTTTTTTTTTTTTTAAATCACAGCTGAACGGTGGTGGCACACTCTATTAATGCCAGCACTTGAGTGGTAGAGGTAGGTGGATCTCTGCAAGTTCGAGGCCAGCCTGGTCTAACAAAGCAAGTTCCAGGACAAATAAGACTGTTACACAGAGAAACCATGTCTCGAAAAAAATAATAAATCAAAATTTTTTAAAAAAAATCACACTTGCTGGGCGTTGGTAGTGAACGCCAGGTCCCTCTGAGAACCTCTATTTGTTCATAATCATTGTTTCCCAACATATACAACATTTTCTTTTCTTTTTTGGAAACAGGATCTATGTAGCCCATACTGAACCCAGACTCTCCACAATGCTCCCGCCTCAATCTCCCATGTGCTGGGATTACAGGTGGGCACCACAATGCCCACCCGGCAAATTTCATCTTTACCGTTCATTTTCTTCCTTATGCTGCTATTTTCCACTACAATTCCAGCCTCACACAGGCAGGCTTCTCTTTTCTGCTCATGGCTTTATTCCCAGTGCCTGACACATACTCAGCACGTTGGGAATCTGGAGCTCGGCAGCATGAGCCAGGGGTCTTACCCGGAGGTGGAAAGAAAGGACAGAGACTGCAGAGTCACCGAATCTTCCAGGGCTCCTGTGTGTAACTTGTAGATGTTACAGTCAAGGGCTCAGTAAGCCCCCTCCCCGTGAGAACGTCATTCCCACCCTAACTCGATGGACAGGTTTTTTCCACGCAGGTTTCATTTCTCTGTCACACAAACCCCCTTTTTATTGGCCCGCGGAGAAGCTGCCCGGATAGCAGGGAGACTCCACGCAGAGACTACATTTCCCAGTAAGGTTGCCCACAGCGCTGCAGCTCTGGGGTTTTTAAAGGGCCTCTCGCTAAATCCAGGGCGGGTCGGTGTAGAGGGGGTGGGTAGGAGTGTCCGCCCGATAGAATCTGGCACCAGACAGCCACCTGCAAGGAGACTGTGTGGGTCAGGGGGGAGTCACCCGGCCTCCTGGTCCTGAAGTGTCCGGGGTGTGAGGCCAGGCAATGCCAGCCTGGGTGCAGCCCCTCTCATCTTGACACCCTCGGCATCTCCCAGAAAATCCCCTTTTTTCCCTTAACTCCCCCAAAACGGTGGGGAGGTGGAGTTGTTAATCTTGTGTCTCAGCGGGAGGTGCCCCCACCCAGTGCCAATGTTCTGGGATTGGGGGGCAGGTAAAGATGTTGGAGTTGTAAGACTAAATAAAGATCTGGGGTCTGTGGGAGCTAGCTGAACTTCACAATCAATGCCTCTCACCCCTCCTTCCGAGCCCGGAGGTCTCTGGGTAAATGTGGGTATGGGTCACTCTCCCAGGAGGGATCAAGGAACTGGGAGCACCTTGCAAGCCGTAATGGGCTATGAGAATAAAAAACTTCAGCACTGTGTCACCCGATTCTTTGGACTTGAATTCTACGGCATGCATTGCATAGAGAGGGATGGGGTGGGGAGGGCGGCACAGTATCTCAGAGGTAGGTACATTTGGGTACCTTCAGAAAGATCTTAATGGAAACGCAGAGAACTGGTTTTTAAAATAACTCAAACAAACCTATCAGAATATGTTTTCAAATTAGGAAACTTCAGGGTCACTGACATCATCAGAATTAAAAACCTTGACCTTTTGAACTAACCTGGCCTTTGACAGCAGTCGCTTCACCTAGAAAGCTGTGGTGAAGGCACCGGTCTTGGTTCCTCCCCTCCCCTCCTCCAATTATTTGGATTGAGCTAGGTTGGAGAGGCTCACCAACTTGCCCTTGTGTCAGGGACTCCCAAGCCCAGGAGCGCTCTCCCCACACCCCGCCCCCAAGTTCAAAGCCCCAGCATCTAAGCCCTAGGCCTTAGCAGAGGTTCCTTCATCAGCTACAATCAATCACCCAGTCCCAGGTTACTATATAATTGAACAGCTACACGTCTTTTTGCTAATAAAACCACCGAGGTTCAGGGAACGAGCCCAGATAGGCAAGACCACCAGAACCCTACTCTAGAGCCGTCGCCAAGAGGACCTGGCATTTTGAGTGGGAGGTAGGCTGCAGACAAGAGATCCTGGGCTCTCTGGGAGTCTCTTCCGCAGATCTCTGAGCCTCTGAAGTCCCTCGGAGCCTAGGACTCCCAATAGCCCCAGGTTGCACTACAGACGCTGGCTCCCCTGCTCACTTCATGGATTTGTGCAAAGCAGGACGGGAAAGATGGACACATTTTATAACAAAGGCATGACATCTTCCCAGCAAAATGGCGGTGGTCCCGACCACGGCTCCCTGGTCGACTGCATACCTCCTGAACATGTCACGGCCAGAGAAACGAGGACTCCCTTCTCGCCCCATTTTTCCAAATCTCTAAAGCATCAAAGAGCCTCTGCTCATCCCAGGGCCCCCCAGGACAGTCTCTGGTTAGTGCCTAGGGAGCAGCGCTAATGGTGTGGACTGCACCCCATCAGGCACACCCTACTTTCAAGAGACCAGTGGAAGAGGGGAGCCTCACCCCAGGGTGGGCCTCGTGGTTGTTTTGCACACCCCCAAAACTCCTATGCTAGGAAGGCATGTAAATGAACTCTTAGGTTTGAATATGTGGAAGATGTGGGGGTGTCTTTGAGGAGAGCAGGCCACCCCGGAAGCCAGTCCCCATCTCACGGGGTCCCAGGAAGCTTTGGGGGCTCGGGCACAGGCAGGAATCTTCACGCAGAGATCTGGGGGCGCGTCGGGGGGAGAGGCGACTCAAGAGGGGGAAGGGACAAAGTTTGAAAGTGCCCATCCAACTCTTCCAGGGAAAGTTTCCTTGAGGGCCCCGGGGACAGAGAGCGGTTAGGGGTGCTGGGAGGGCCTGTGGCCGGGTGACCCCCAAGAGGTGACCGGACCCCGGGGAGACGACCCCTCCCCCCCTTGTCCCGACTCGGCCCGGCTGGGAGTCGCCCAGCTCGGGGCCGCGTGTGTTAGTTGGGGCCACTTCTGCGCCGCTCCGCTAGGTTGGGGGACCCCGCAGCCGGCCGGGAGTGGGAGCCTTGGTAGTCCCAGGGGGGAGCTTTCTTATGGGGGGTCTCAAACCCCGGGGCTCCCGGGCCCCGCAGAGCCAGCCCCCCGCAAATGGGAAATGTGCCGGCGCCCCAACGCTCCTCGGCGCAGTTTGGGGCTCGTGGCGGGCGCGGGGGACGACGGCCAGGGCGCCGGGGTCCCCAGCGGGGAAGCCTAGGGAGCCGGCCAGGGACCCCGAGAGACAGCGGGCAGCGGGAAGGCCTGGACCGCCAGGAAAGGTCGGGTTTGCTCGGCGGAAGAAACACAGATGGCGGCGGCGCGGCGCCATTCCGGGCCGGGAGCAGGCAGCCAGCAGCCCAGTCCTCACCGCGGTCCGCCCGCCGCCGCTAAATACCCGGATGCGCCGCCCGAGCGCCAGACGCCGAGCTGGGAAAAGGGAGGCCGAGGAGGCGGAGGCAGAGGCAGCGCCAGGCGCCGGACGAGCGACAGAGCGGTGGGGGCTGGGCCGCTCAGAGCAGCCCGCGAGCCCGCCTGCGACCCGCACGGCGCCGGGGAGGACAGGAGCCACGCGTGCCCGGCAGCCGCACTTCGGGGTGGCCTGCTAGTTGAGCGGGTGTGCAGATCCCGAGTCGGGTTGTGCCCAGCCTCCGGCGAGGGCTGACCCTTCGGAAGGCTCCTTCAACAGCAGGAGCAGGCCGGCCACCATGACCGAGAACTCCACGTCCACCCCTGCGGCGAAGCCCAAGCGGGCCAAGGCCTCCAAGAAGTCCACGGACCACCCCAAATATTCAGACATGATCGTGGCTGCCATCCAGGCAGAGAAGAACCGCGCCGGTTCCTCGCGCCAGTCCATCCAAAAGTATATCAAGAGCCACTACAAGGTGGGTGAGAACGCCGACTCCCAGATCAAGTTGTCCATCAGGCGCCTGGTGACGACCGGTGTTCTCAAGCAAACCAAAGGGGTGGGTGCCTCGGGGTCCTTCAGGCTGGCCAAGGGCGATGAGCCCAAGAGGTCGGTGGCTTTCAAGAAGACCAAGAAGGAAGTCAAGAAAGTGGCCACTCCAAAGAAGGCAGCCAAGCCCAAGAAAGCTGCCTCCAAAGCCCCGAGCAAGAAACCCAAAGCCACCCCAGCCAAGAAAGCCAAGAAGAAGCCGGCTGCCACGCCCAAGAAAGCCAAAAAGCCCAAGGTTGTCAAAGCCAAGCCAGTCAAGACATCCAAACCCAAGAAGGCCAAACCTGTGAAGCCCAAAGCCAAGTCCAGTGCCAAGAGGGCCAGTAAGAAGAAGTGACGATGAAGGCTTTGCTTGTGGACACCCCTTCCTCCCTCTTTTCTGTAAATACATTTCTCTCTCCATCTCTTCTGCAACCCTTTGCCCATTCCATTCTGACTCTTTACAAAAAGGACAGAGTTCGGATTCCTCAGACAGACATTGTGGAATGGTTCCCTGTTCTTAACCCATTGTGCAAGGATAGCCACAGACCTCATCTTTGTAATGATGAAGATGTACTTTTTTTTTTCTTGACTTGATATTAGCCTTCTTATGGGGTTAGGGGTGTGGGGGTTGTTGGGTGGTTTGTTTACTGTGAAGGAAAATGGAACTGGCAAAGTTCTGGCTAGACGAGGGGATCCGGGAACAAAAGTTTGTCTTTTCAAGGCTTTCTTAAGTTGCTCATCCATCCCTCGTGAGAGCTTCAAAACCTCTGGTGGGGAGCAGAGGATGACACCCCACCTAGCTGGCCAGGGAGGGACAGAGGAAAAACTCCAATGGTGAGCAATTGGGGACTTGGGGTTTTCTTGTCACTTAACGCCCTAGTGCCTCACCATTGTCTAGGAGGGGAAAGGGCTCCAATTGACTTCTTACTGTCAGGATCTAGCCATTGGGGAAGGAGGGCTCTTTTCAAAGGTCTCTTGTTAAATGGGAGTGGACTTGGGAGGGGTGGGGAGCCAGCCAAGTGCCTCAGTGTGCCTATGGAAACTTGGGTTTTTTCCACACGGTTGATGGGTTGTGTCTTTTTTGTTGTTGTTGTTCCTTCCTGTATAAGATGTGGCTTTGCTTGGTGCCCCTTCAGTTCTACCAGCTGCCACTTAAACCCCTCCAACCTCTTGTACTTTTTGACTCTTTTTCTAAGTAGCCGAGGAGGGCGAGAGGCAGGGAGAGGGCTGTTAAGACATAATATAGTTGATTTGAATTTGCTAGGTAGCTTTAGAGAGCCAGGCTTGTGTGCATGTGTGTATATGTATATATCCGTATCTAAGACTAGTACTTAGTCTCACTTCAGGAGCTGGGAGAAAAAACCTGTACAGTTGTCGCTCTTATTTTAATAAAATAGGAAACTCGTGCACTCGCGCCCCCTCCCCCTTTTTAAACAAGTGTTATCAGTGCCGGGAAAGATTTGCTGTGGTTGTAATTTTAAACTTTAAAATAATAAAACTGGAAAAGGAAAAAAAATCTGACTGGTGCGTTTTTCCTCAACTGGAGGAGGGTGAGGAACGATCGGATGGGCAATGTGGGGAAAGCTGGCGCCACGTTAGCGCCGAAAAAAAGCGAAGCTTTGGAGGGAGACGGGAATACTCAGCCGCAAGGGCAGGATGCCGGCCGGCTCGACACGGTGGCTGGTCCTCGGGAGAGGTGGGTGTGTAGGCAGGATCTGGGGCGGGGAGGCCCTGAAGTCGCTTCCCCAGCGCGGACCTCCCGGGTCTCCGATTTACAAATCAATCCACTTTCGTCGCCTGCCGACGGTGTCAGACCCCGCCTGTGGGCGGGGCCTCCACCAACCTCTGAAAGTAAGCTCCCGTTACTCTGATTGGCTGTCGGGGCCCTGCCCACGCCACGTGACGGGCAAAGCTAGGCAGTCGGCTGGCAGGCACATTTCATCCCGTGGGCGCGATGTGGGTCAGCAGCGTATGGCGCACGACGTTGTCACCCGGTCGCCGCGCGCAATCAGCGCTGGCGCAGCTGCGCGGTATCTTGGAGGGCGAGCTAGAAGAGATCCGCGGGGCTGGCACCTGGAAGAGTGAGCGGGTGATTACGTCCCCCCAGGGACCGAGCATTCGTGTGAACGGTATCTCCGGAGGTAACGTCCCCTTCTGGGAGTCATCGTGTCTAGCCAGAGCCCATCCAGGGCTTGCATGTGAATGAAGGCCCTCGGTTGGGTGTGGGGGACGCACGTGCATGCGTAGTTGCTGGTCTCCTTCTAGTCTGTCTCAGGCACACTATGGCTTCCTAGTGTTAACTCCACTTGTTTAAACCTGTTCGACGGAGGGAGGTGATTTACCAGTCAGCACCTTTTGGGCGCCGAAGGCAGTGGTGCCAAGAGACTCAACCCTGTGAGAAAAAGAGAGCGATATCCAGCTGCATTGGCCTCCTATACCCTGCTTCCAGGAAGAGTGGACGAAAACCCTCATTCTTTCATTGATCCAAGTTGTAAAGGTTACCAGTTGCTATACCTTTATTCATAATGACATCTGCATGAGAGACCAGTTCTCCCCGCTCCCCTTGGTTTTTCGAGATAGGGTTTCTCTGTGGAGTCCTGGCGGTGCAGGAACTCCCTCTGTAGACCAGGCTGGCCTCGAACTCACAGAGATCTGACTGCCTCTGCCTCCGGAGTGCTGGGATTAAAGACAGGGACACCACCTTTGGGCTAGAGAGACCAGTTGTCATTAAAAGAAATCATGCCTTTGATCCCAGCACTCAGGAGGCAGAGGCTGGTGGATCTCTATGAGTTCAAGGCCAGCCTGGTCTACAGAGCTAGTGCTCCTGGACATCCAAGGCTACACAGAGAAACCCTGTCTCAAAAAACAAAAACAGAAGGAGGAGGAGGAAGAAGAAGATAGATTTCCCCTAGAAGAAGAAGCAGCAGCTGAAGTGGAGCTAGATTTCCCCAGACCCTCCATTAGCCAGCTCAAGTGTCACAGGATATTGGGGTAGAAGGCCCACTTCCACCAGAGAGGCTAAAGTTTAAGCAAGCTAGGGGATCAGGTCTGCCGAAGTACCTGTGTCTTCCACCTGTCTTCTCCTAAAGAGGACTGTAGAAAGAACTTCCCATCCCCTAACAAAACCTTCAGCCTTCACGTGATTTCAGAGAGATAAACAACGGGCTCAGGGTGTGATTCGGTGACGGAGTGTTTGCCCAGCTCACCTAAGGCTGTGAGTTCATATCCCAGCACTCACCACACTCAAAAGCTGGGGCATTTTAGAGAACCAAGTTCTTAGATTCTTCGTCTGGGTCCCAGGTCATGAGCCGTCCCTTCCTCAGGCCTCAATTTCCTTGGGCCAACTATGTGAACTTTTTAAGATTGATAGCCGAGGTCTCTGAGCCACCCCTCTGGAAATGCAACTCTGTGGGCAACGGGTGGCTGAGCAGTGGAGTTTGAGGCCCTTGGCCTCTTTCCCAATTAAGAAAAGCAAAACCAAAATGGTGATGGTTTTGGCTTCAGAACCTGTGAGGAAGGTCTGGGGATCCTCTCAGGATGTTATTCATAGCGAGGTTTTCAACTTCTCATCCTTCAAGGCAGAGAGGGACAAACCTCTCCTGACCCTCCTGCCTTGTGACAGTAGATTCGAAGCCTCTGACCTCTCCCCAGAATGGGTCATCTGTGCAGCTGTTGCCTCTCAAGGGCAAATCCAAGCTGACTTCTCTCTGGCCCCTGTCCCAGGACCTGACACCTTGGTCCTGCAGGCCCTTCTTTGCTTTTCTGAGCCCTGTTGTTGGTCTTCTCCACCCCAGGAATCCTCAACTTCTGTGCCAATAACTACTTGGGTCTGAGCAGCCATCCCGAGGTGATCCAGGCGGGCGTGCAGGCTCTGGGAGAGTTTGGAGCTGGCCTCAGTTCTACCCGCTTCATCTGTGGGACCCAGGTACGCAGCAGGTGCTGGGTAGCACAGATCCGCCTGCCTCTGCCTCCCGAGTGCTGGGATTAAAGGCGTGCACCACCACTGCCTGACTCACGCTCAGTTTTAATGCATTTATTTTCTATTTTTTTTAAATATTTATTTATTATGTATACAATATTCTGTCTGTGTGTATGCCTGCAAGCCAGAAGAGAGCACCAGACCCCATTACAGATGGTTGTGAGCCACCATGTGGTTGCTGGGAATTGAACTCAGGACCTTTGGAAGAGCAGGCAATGCTCTTAACCTCTGAGCCATCTCTCCAGCCCCTGCATTTATTTTCTAATAAAACTCATGAGTCTGACCAAACAGCTCCCAAATCTAAGAAGCTGAGCCCCCCAAATAAGCATAGGCTTGCCTAATGTGATCCACTTTTCTGCTGCGGAGAAAAAGACAGTCTGATGTGAAGACATAGCTTCTGTCCCTAGCCTCACTCAGAATTCACAGACACTAGACAGACCCCCAACACAAACAAAGGTCCGCTTAGGAATTGAGAGCTGCCAGGCCTCATCCTCCATGATGGGAGCAGCTGCTTCAGTCCAAGTTCCAGAAGTCACCTGTGCGGTGCCAAAGTGAGAGTGTGGCTGAGGCTGCAGGCCTTCTGCCTGGGTCTGTGGGTTCTCTAAGCCTCTGTCCTTTAGGATTTGTCCCACAAAGCCCACAGGTACTAACCATTGCCTGCCTGTATCCTTTAGAGCATCCACAAGAATCTAGAAGCCAAGCTAGCCCTTTTCCACCGGCGTGAGGATGCCATCCTCTATCCCAGCTGTTTTGATGCCAATGCTGGCCTGTTTGAGGTGCGGAGAGGCTGTGGGTGACTTGGAGGTGGGCTGGGATGGTGTGGCAGAGTGACAGTGTCACAGAGCAGCCTATGTACACTGGAAGGCGGGGTGAGGGGGCCTGGTACCAACCTGATGTCTTTAACTGGCCCTACGCACCGAGGTAGAAGTAGAGTTTTGCTTGGGGAAGTTAAGAGGGAAGGGGAACTCCTGGATGGCCATATAGGAACTCCTCCCCATAGGCTCTGCTGACCCCCGAGGATGCAGTCCTCTCAGATGAGTTGAACCATGCCTCCATCATTGACGGCATCCGGCTGTGCAAGGCCCACAAGTACCGCTACCGCCACCTGGACATGGCTGACCTAGAAGCTAAGCTGAAGGAAGCTCAGGTGGGGTGAGGCCCTGGGGCTCCAGAGAAAGGTCTATAGTCCCCTGCTCAAGGAAATTCGGCTTGGAGGGGACCCCTCTTCACAAATAGCCTGAAGGGCTGAGGGAGCCATTTGAACTTCCTCATCCCTTGGGCCCAAGACTGTATTCTATAGCTCCCCGTGGCCTGAGATCGGGAAGCACTTTTGAGCAGCAGGTGTGTGGATGTGTGACTAGGACCTGTCCCATGCCAGCTTGCCCTCTTGAGGTCTGAGTCAGGATGGGGAGGCCCAAGCCCTCTCTCAGTGCCAGAGCTAAAGTGGCTGAGCTTGGAGGAGATGGACAAGGCTCGGGATATAGCAGCAGAAGAGCAGGTGGTTTGGTCCTGCTACGTATCACCTGCTCTTGTCTGTCCCGCAGAAGCACCGGCTGCGCCTGGTGGCCACAGATGGAGCCTTCTCCATGGATGGTGACATCGCTCCTCTGCAGGAGATCTGCCGCCTCGCTGCTCAATATGGTGCCCTGGTCTTTGTGGATGAATGCCATGCCACTGGCTTTCTTGGGCCCACCGGAAGGTAGGGACATTTGAGGCCTGGGTGGGAGCTTCTGACGGTGGATGAGAGGTCAGGAGGCCAGTGGCAACAGTGGTTGCTTCCTTTGCAGGGGCACAGATGAGCTGCTAGGTGTGATGGACCAGGTCACCATCATCAACTCCACTCTGGGGAAGGCGCTAGGTGGAGCATCAGGTGCCTACGGAATCCTGTCTGTGGGGTCTCCTTCCCTACATGCCTTGTATGGGGTGGAGAAGGAGGGGGAGGTCAACTGGAGGGGAGGGCAGTTCCTGGCCCCTGACTGGCTCCTCTTCCACATTATTTTCTGTCTTCAGGGGGCTATACCACTGGGCCTGAGCCTCTGGTATCCCTGCTACGTCAGCGTTCTCGGCCCTACCTCTTCTCCAACAGCCCGCCCCCTGCTGTTGTTGGCTGTGCTTCTAAGGCCCTGGACCTGCTCATGGAGAACAGCACCATCGTCCAGTCTATGGCTGCTAAGACCCGGCGGTATGGTGCCCACATGGGTGGAGCGAGATGGGGGAGAGATGGTAGTCACACACCTTTTTACCTCCTCTTGCTCGCCTTCCTCTTTTCCTTCCCACCCGCCTCTGTCACAGCATCCTCCTTGAATCCCCCCTGTACCCTTCTTTTCACCCTACTTTCCCACCTCCCTTTATCCTGCCTGCCTCTGC